AGAAGAAATTCAGGGCAAAAGCTGAGGAGAGAAAAGCTCTCAGAGCCAGTTCCAAATTCTGCCTGCACAGGTATTCTGGGTTGGAAACAGCTGTGTTGGCAGGACTGCACGCACAGCCTGCCTCAGGTAGGGCTGCAGAGCCCCAGAGCCTGCCAAGAACACGTTCCTTCAGGCTGTGCAGCCTTGTAGCACGGAAAATGGGGACAATCACTAGGACTGGAAGCATGGAAACTACAATACTTGACTATCATAAGCATTCTAAAACTCACATTTTCTAAAATGAAGAAAATGTCCAGCCAGCTCTCACTGCCCCACTCTCCAAGTGCTACTCTTGTAGCAGGAAAATGGGGACAATCACTAGGACTGGAAGCATTGAAACTACAATACTTAACTACCATAAGCATGCTAAAACTCCCAGCTTCCAAAATGAAGGAAATGTCCAGCCAGCCCCACTCTCCAAGTCACCCAGCCTGAGAGCGTTTGGTAACAGCCATGAAATAGTCACATCATGAATTAGGGACATCATGACATGCCTGAAAGAAATACCTCTGACAACAAGGAGGAAAACACAGCACTAGATTTCAGAAAAGGATACAGCAGCCACCTCTGCAGTGGCTGGTTCCTTTAGATAAGAGCAATATTACCCTGAAAATCACAGACTGTAATAAAACATTGACCAGAAGCTCCCAGCAGCAAGTTTTTAAATCACTCAGCATAAACTTCAATCAAAACCATTGCTGCCAGCAACAGCTGCCATGTCTACAGCCATCTGAGAAAATTTGGAAAAGATAAATAAAGACTCTTAATGGTAAGAACTCAAGATTTAGTATGCAAATTTCTCAATGAAAAATTGATGATTTCTTCACACAGAAGTTTCCAACTGTGAGATAGATCAACCAAGAAATGTGCAGTGTCCAGGAAGAAAGAATTGCTACCAGAGCACAACATAGTGAGTTGAAGTTTCTCATCTGCTGTTAGAACTCTGTTATCAACTTGTGTAAGAACAAAAGAGGAGCCTGAGAAGAGGCCCAGAAGGCAGAAATTCCCCTGTTCTGATCTGACCCTCAGATTCAGGGAAACAAAAAAAAAAAAGCCCAGGACTCGTCTCACCTGTAAAATGAGGACTCACTCTCACTACTGTCATGGTGATTTATTTGTCTGAAATGAGAAGCCTTTGTTCTACATTTGTTAAAAAATCATATAGAAAAAGACAAGGATTGTAGTACAAAATAAATTCTTAAACTAAACAACTCCACTTCTTTGACTATTGAGCAGGCTAAAAACTGCACCTGCCTTCTCTAGAATACCCACATTAGCAGCACCAGGGTGGCACTCTCCAACTTGTTAAAACTGCACAGCAATAATATTTCTTCAACACTGGCTTCTGTCAAAATTCAGCGACTTTTTAAAAAAACAAAAAACCATACCAGTCTTGATAAAGTTCCTATTTCACACATGTTTGTTTTCCTGAAGTAGTTGCTACTGGACTAAATACAGGTCGTGCTAATTCTTTCAACATTTAGGGGAAAAATTTGCAAAGATCTTTGTATTTGATCACACCAAACACTCCCTTTTGTGCCTGTTTGCTCTAGCATAACTGAAGATTATAATAGTTAAAAATAGCCACTTTTCCATTAACTTAGACCTTCATGATAACAAGTAGTTTTGACAGTTTTTAAGCAGTGTGAGATAACATGCACAAGTAGGTCACAGTTATACTTGGCTTTAGAAAAATGTCTTTCATCCAGGGAATTTACAGCTCTTTGCAAACAAGCCCTTAGGTAAGCAACAATCTATAAGGCTTACTCCAACACCTAAACTCACTCATGTATGAGTCCTAACAGCAACTACTTAACAACAGCTGAAAGTAGAATATTAAGCCTTTTGCAAACTGCAAAACTAAAAAGCCTGACTGACGTCAATGGCAGCTCTCCACTGATCCCAACAGGCTGTAGAGCAGGACATGAAAGTGCCCTGGGAAGGACTCCAACTTGACAGGGAAGAGAAAAGTGATTTTTCAAAGTTTGTTTCAGCTCCTAGTTCAGTCACAAGATTTCCAGAATGATTTTTTTGTTCAAGCTTCTGGGAATACTTGTCTGTGCTGCTTCATTTGGCATTTGGTCAGCACATCTGCTAAAGCCATACTACCAGGAAAGTGGTGGGAGAATGTTAGAGACCTTCCATTTATATAACAACAGGAGCTGAGAGACAGGTGTGAAGGACTGCAACAACAAGGTCTGTGAAGAGTGGAAGGAAAAAAGGAATGGTTCAGAAAATTCATCTCAGGGCACAGGTGAGACATTAGTCCGCATAGCAGCCCCTCTGAAAAACTTAGCTGCCATTATTTCCATTGTGCAAGTAGGGAAGCATAAAACTCTTCAATCCAGAGTTTTATTTAAGGCAAAATTACATGAATTTGGGTTATTAGTTATAATTTATGTATTTATTTATAATGTGTCAGAATTTCAGTGACTATATGGGTAGTTTTGGTTAAATAACAACAAGGAACTGGAGCAGGAGAGTTAAAAGGAATGGTCCAAAAGTCACGAGGTACTGCTGGATTTCAGGAGTTTCTTCTGTCATCTGTTGCAGTCAGTTCACTACACCATGCTGCCTCCTGGAGCAAAATAGATGAATAGAGAGCTGCACAGATGGAACACTGGTAATACTGTGAGGCTTTCTACTACCCCTTGAATATCCTCTGCAGTTTAGTAAGAAAAATGTCATGGGTGAATGTTTAACCCTTTTGCTATGCTAGTTATGCTTGGTATATAATCAACCAGCAGACAGCGCCAAGTGCTTGATGCATTCAGAATAATAATGATCACCTTTGGACATCTAACACCACATAAAATATTAACAATCAATATTCGCTGAGCTTGCAGACCATAATGATAGCGTGGCTTTAATGTGACTGCATATGCATGAGGAAATCTGCCTTCATGAAGCACAGGGTCCCTATCTGGCATTTAAACAAAGCCCATAAACACTCACTTCTTACTTGTGCTGCATTCTCATGAGTAACCTCATGAAGACCTGTCATATCACTTAAATGTGTAAAAGTTAGTTTCTATGTTGACTTTGAACAGCAATAATGTTTAAAATTATTAATAATGACAATGGTCTATAATGTTTTACACACAAACAATCTTTGTTCAGTATGTATTTACCCAGACTCACATATTTTCCATATAAATCTCCTTGTTTAACTTTAAAAGGATTTATTGATAGAAATTAATATCTTCATCTGTATCATGAATCTTATTCACTACTTCCCTAAAGACCTACGACTGTCTTACTCTCTCTCTCTCTCTCTCTCTCCAATTAATTACTCTGAACAAACAAGATGGCATGAGAAGGACTGAGAAAGAATTCACTTTCCCTCTCCAGGCAGCTCTCCAGTAGAATTAAGCAGGCATCAAACATCATGTGTTGTGCAGATGAATGGGAGAGAGGGACAGTTGGGGGAGGAAAAGGAAATATGGCCAGTGGAAATGTTCCCTGGCTTCCCATTCTGTATGGTTCAGTTTTTGTGAGTCATCTGCAAAGATTAAATTGCAAAGTTTTTATGTCACTTTTTCAAATCCAGGTACCCCTTCAATAACAAATCTGCTCCAGGTTATAATGCTTTGCTGGGTGTTCCCCACAAGTACTAATGTAGCCTTAGCACAGCACAGATGCTCATATGCTTAGTGTTCTTCCAGAAATGGATTCTTTGGAGACCAATATAGTCCATTTCTCCCTAAAGCAAGAAATCTACTGTTGCATGAAGAATTATGCCACTCTAACACCATTTATTATTTATATCTAAAATGGGTGTGATGCTTTAGGAGTATGGTCATAGCCACAAAGTGCCAACAACCTTTTAGGAGTCACACGATGCCTTCAACGTGCATGAAGCTCCTTTGGATGTCAACAACAATCCAAGCAGATGAAAGAACTGGTCCATGCTGAGCAGTATTCATGAAGATGCAGAGAGATCAAAGTAGGAACAAATAAGATGCATCCTTACATTCAAGGGTTTGTCAATTCGCAATATATAATTTTTATAAAGTATTTGTTTCAAGTCAGATATAGCCAGGGAGTGGTTTCATTTGTCATTACTGTGCAGATAATGGTCTGTCTTCAGGAGATGCTTACAAGTCTTTCTGCTTTGTTATGACAACATTCAGAAAATGCCTAATTTTATGTTTCCAGTCCTTTAATTTGTACTAAGTATAATAAAAACCCTAAAGCATCAGTCTTTGTGCCACACCTGTGCCTGTTTCTCATATTGGAAGCATAACTTTGGGAAAAGATGAGATCTGCAATCAATGAGGCTGATCAGCTCATCTCCAGCCCAGAATGGGCAAACACACAGCCGGAGTTTACACACAAATGCACGCAAACGACAAAAGGATATTCAAGTTCAAGTCATAACGTTAAAAAAGGAAAATCTAAAGTAAAACTCAAAACGTTAATTCCAAGCCAGATGCAGATGTCCATCAGAGGTACAAACCGACGACTGGATTCACCACCACACCCTACCGGGAGCACTTGCGTTACCAATGACAGGACAAGCCGGATGCCTCACTGCGCTCATCAGACACCCAGTCCCAATCCGCTACCATTCCCTGAGCAGCAACACCCGCCGGGGTCTGACCCTATGCCCACCATGCTCCTTTCTCTGCATCCATCCATCCAGCCACCCCCACCGTCACTCAACGCGTACCGAGCCGCCGCACCTCCCGTGCCCCTACAGCCGCCCCCGGCAGGTGCGGCGGTGCCCGGCCCCGGAGGATGCTCTGCGGCGTCCGGCCCCGCTGCAGCCCGCGCCGGACCCCCCGCTCGGCCAGCTGCAGAACGGCACCGGGCAGGCGACAGCGGGCGGGGGATCATCCCCTGGCCGCCCCTCAGCCCCGAAATCCCCGGCTCAGCCCCGGGGTGCGGGGCACCGCAGCGCGGCCGGGCGGCAAGGTCAGCGCGGCTCCGGCGCTGCCCCGGCGCGGCAGAGAACCCACCTCTGGCAGACATGGCTCAGCCTCGGGCTGGCAGCCGCGGAACTGCTGCTGCTGCTGCTGCTGCTGCTGCTGCTCCTGCTGCTGCTGCTGTGGCTGCGGCGGCAGCGCACGGCCCGCACCGCCCTGCGCCCTCCGCGCCGCGGCGGCCGATGCGGGGGGCGGCGGCCGATGCTGGGCCGGGCCGGGGCGGGCGGGTCCGCGCCGCCGCCGCGCTCCCTCCCTGCCCTGCCCTGCCCTGCCCGGCTCTGCCCGGCTCTGCCCTGCCCGCCGCGGTGCGGGGCGGCGCCGGGGGCGGCTCTGCGGGGCGGGAGCGCGGCTGTCTGTCTGTGCGGGGTGTGCGGGATGTGTGTGTGTGTGTGTGTGTGTGTGTGTGTATGTGCGGGTCTGGTTGTGCGGGCACCGGGCGGGGCAGCGCCGGCGGAGCCCCCGCGGCCGCAGCCGCTGCCGGGCGCGGTGACACCGCTCGGGTGCGGCGGGGCGCGGTGCGGGGCGCGGTGCCGCAGAGGGCGACAGTCGGGGACAGCCGCGCCGCCGGCGAGAGCCACGAACGCTGCGGAGAGCAGCGCGGCAGAGCTCCAGCTCCTCGGAGTGCTGGATAGGCGTGTCTGCTCGCTGACAGCGCCGGGCGACAGCAGCTCCGCTCGTTCGGGACCCGGCGCTGAAGTGTGTGGCACAACTTGAAATGCACGCACCGAACAGCAAAGACATGCCTGCGTAACTGTATGTAAATTGTATATAAACACAGAATTTCTAGCAATGTTGTCTGCAAAGCAGTCATGGCGTTAACATACAGAAAACAGCACTCAGATTCCTCCTGGCACCTTAATAAAAGTACAAAAAGACCAAATGCCGCGCACCAGAAAAACAAGATCAGTATCTGGTGGACACCTTTACCCAGCCTCCAGCCTAGTGAAGCCAAATATTCCCATGCTGCACTAAAAAGAAAACCCCTACGCCACCAGATTATTAGATGGTGGCAAGAGTTAAGCAAATCAACAATCTAGTTTGTCAGGAACGACAGGTTAGAAGATCACATCAGAATAGTGCAGTTGAAACATTAGAGCAGACTTTCATCAATTTCAGAATGGGCAACTATGAAGTAAAAAACAGAAAGCCCAATCTGTGATGTTCTGCAAGAAGCCAACATGCAAACTGAATGACAGGAAAGACTGAATCACACTCCTCCACTCTGATCTACCATGCACTACACATCTTCATACTAGCAAGAAGCCTACACAAATTTCCTATCAAAAAACCCCACAATTACCGGAATCAGATCTAAGAGAGGTGGTAAAGATTGCATTATCATGTGGCCACAGGTCAGGAATGGATGCTAGTAGATATATCATGGATTCTCACTGCCGTCTGCAAGTGCAGCCCAGCCCCTGCCTCTGCTGTGTCAGATCCGGCCTCTGGCACTGCTCACCTTCCCCCTCGTGCCAGCCAAGCAGGGAAGGTATTTGTGTAGGGAAGCATTGAAGCAGCAGGAGGGCATGCAGCACTCAGACGCCCCCTCATCAGGGGATACAGGCACAAAAAATAAATTGGCACATCTGTTTGCCTGAATTAGTGCTCATGCTCACTGCAAAGACTTTCAGCCATGTCCAGCTCTGTTTGCCATGGATTACCCCAGTGTTCCCTTCACTGCAATTCAATCATATTCCTTATATCATTCTGTTTTCTTCCCCCTTGCAAATGTTTCTGAATCTGGCAGCAGTAATAAAATAAATCTAAAGTTTTTCTTCTCTAAACTCTTATAGCATTATCCTTAGCTGGTAATCTGACATCCCTTGAAAAACAATTCTTTTCCCTTCTCTTTTTCTGAAATTAGAAGAATTTTCCACTTGAAAATAACTCAGATTTTCTTTCTTGTCCATAAGAGGCAAGGTTTTCCTTCAGTCAATGTAGTATGACAGCATTTTGTATTTTTAATTAAGTCATTTCCTATTCACTTCCTCAGTGAGTTTCTGAACTAGCACTATCACAGGTTCTCCCATGAGGTACTTAATAGATGGCTTTAAAAAGAAGGTTCAGGAACATGCAGAAATTAGCTTTTTAATTAAGAACTTCCTTTCTTTATACTGCTAGGAAATAGGAAGGGAAAGGTATTTGGACCTTGGGATTCTATAGAACACAAAGAGTTTATTCCATTTATTGTGTAAACTCTCTGTGGCAGAGAAGTTGAACAGACATGTTGGCCAGAGAATACTAAAATGGGTCAGATACAGCACTGATTTCTTAAAGTGAGCTTTTTAGCTGGGTTTCTTGAGAACCTGAGGCTGATGGAGTTTTATTTTCCTGTCTGTCCCCTCCATCAAGTCGCCTCAAGAATTTTCAGATTTGCATATGGAGAACTTCAATTCAAGTTCACTAAAAGGTATAATTCAGAACAAGTTCTACATCCCTACGATTTTGTAGTAATTAGCACTTAAGAAGAAACATTAAAATTAAAATAAAGGAGAAAAGCTGCAGTGGAGACAGTTACCAGTTCTGGAGGCCACGTCTTTATTAGCCACAAGTACCAGTTGGGCAATCTGCATGTGGGCAGCTAAATCAGCTCCTGAGGTTGCTGTCTGGGATCCTGTCAGTATCTAGGGAATGTGGAAGGAAGCAGAAGAGGGTGGAAAAGGAAAGTACAGAGAAGAGAAGAGCCATTATTATTATTTTACAGGTGAAGTTGAGTCAGAGAAGATGGACGAGCCAATCCAAGGCTTGCTCACTCTCCTGTGCACTCCCTGTTCTCTCAGCCCAGCCCCTGTGCTCCTGCTTCCCTCACTGCAGCACTGGCTTGATCCTCACAGGGCTACTTTAGCTCATTAATTAACAAAGACTTGCTCACTTTCTCTATCCAAATTCCCTACAGTTGCTGTCTGAACCAAAGGCTCAGATGAACACTGGAACATGACTGAAGGCAAGTGCAGAACTGGACACCCAGGAAGGGTGAGGAACCATTAGAGGCAACAAAGATCCTTTTTAGCAGCAGCAGCTGTTGAGCTGTTTGATTGAGCCATTTCCTGACTACTTTAGAAGTCCATTAAGGAGCAGTGATTGACATTGTTTTATTTCAGGCATCTACCTGAGGCTCCTGAATTAGTCAGCAGGGAAGTAGGATCCTATCTCCTGCATTTTAGTATTGACTGAACAGACTAAGCTTCTAACTCTTAGTGTTAAAAGATCCATTAATGTAATTTTTTTAAGGTATTTAAGCTTCAAGAGATCCAAAGAGGCACCTCAAGATTTTTCAGAGAGGCCCAAATATAAATATATTTTAGCAAACAATAGGTGTTTCCAAATCCTGTCTCAATGCCCTTGAGGAGCTAAGTGTGTTGTCCAAGGTCACAGAGAAAATCTGTGTCAGAGCAAAGCACAGAACTTGCATCTTCAAAGAAAAGTATCCCAAATACTGACTGTGTTCTCTGTGCAGCATACCTTGCTGTCACTTAGCCTTTGTGTGAATATAAACCATAAAGTTCTCCTTTAATCACTTTTGAACCAGTTTGTCTCTACAAAGTAGGATAGAAATTTTAAAAGTAATTAAGATCCCATCAGTGGTATGTCAATCTATTTTTTCCCATGAAAATGAGCACAGAATGGCACAGAGAATAAAAAAAAAAACAGGTAAAAGTCATCATTGCATCTTTGTATGATGCAGATAACTCTTCAGTCAGAATATACCTATTTTTGCACAATGCAGGATCTTTCCTCTTGAAAATCATTGTGAGAAAAATCAGAATTTTTTTGGAACAGACAAATTCTTACAGAAGTAGGTTTCCAAAAACAACTTCTGTGGGCAAGGCAAATGGAAAGGATGACCAAGACTGGTCTGAATAATGATGGAAACTATTGGATATTTCTACTAATTTTTCCTATATCTTCCACCATAATTCCACTGGCTTCTTTTTTAGGGAAATCAGACCTAACAAAATCTAGAGCATTACTAAACCAAATAATTTAATCAGAATTTTAATAAGCTCAGAATAAATAGTTTCCTGTGACATGAATGACAAGAAAGCAAGACAGTTCTCTTACTTTCAATATAAGACTCTTACTAGAATTTGCAATTAGTCAGTAATGGACAAGATATTAAAATAAATACTGATTACAGAGCTTCCAGGGCAGTTCCTACTAATCTCTTTGGAGAAAATTTCCCTTTTATACATTTCAAAGGAGAACTGAGCTTCAAATTATTCACACCAAATATTAATAGAAATCTTTGCTTAATTTTTTCCTTTTTTTCTCTAAATATCCCACACACATATATATAAAAAGAGACTTATCCATTTACAAAAAAATAAAATTCAAAAATATACGAGGTTCTCCTGAGTGAGACAAATCCCAGAGTCATCTTTCTGGTTTCTTATTATCCTGGTTTTCTTAAAAATCTCCTTTCTTCTACATGGTATTCAACCCTCCATACTGTTCTGTGGAATATGCACTTTTACAGCTAAAGTTACAATATTGAACTTATGTTATCCTGAGTCAGTCTTGCCTACCAGACTTGAATAACCCAGAAAGTTTTACACAGATTATGTAAGATGATGCCATCACATAAATACATAAATAGGTTTTATATAAGACAGAAATATTGGCAATCCTGGAAAACTAAGGGAAAGGCCTCAGATAAGCCTGTGAATACCTACTCTATATTGCTCTTCATCACAATGACTGTTGTGCCTGTGGGAACCTAGGGCACAAAGGCCAAAATGACAAATTCTTTTCTGAGAGTCAGCTTTGGAAAAATTATCTAAATGTTGTGCAGCATTTCCTGCTGAAGAACTTCAGCATCAGCCCTGTGTGTGAACCTTACCAGGTTCACACCTGGTAAGATGCCGGAAGATGCCAACCAAGAGCTCAGAGTCAGAAACTTGACCAGGTTTTGCACCAGGTTGTCCCAAGGTCACGTATGAAGTATGTGAATAAGAGCTGAGAGCACAAGTCTATGGAGATGATGAGATGCATCCCAGAGTCCTGAGGGGATTGGCTGATGTAGTTGACAGGCCATGATATTGGAAAAGTCATGGAAGTCAAGTGAAGTCCCTGGTGACTGGAGAAAGGGAAACATTGC